TCACCGTGAGTCTCTCCCGCAGGAACCTCATGTTGGGCACCCGGTAGTTGACCTGGGACAACATGTTCTTCAGATCCTTGGCAGAGATCCTGGCTCGGCAGGGGAAAAAAGGGGAGACACGTTCAGGAGGGCTGGGGAGGAGGGGACAGCAGGTGCCCAAAGGGGCATCAGCTCTGGCACGCCAGGACGGACGCGTGACCCCGGGAGGACGCCGGGGTTGAGGAACCTCATGTTGGGCACCCGGTAGTTGACCTGGGACAACATGTTCTTCAGATCCTTGGCAGAGATCCTGGCTCGGCAGGGGAAAAAAGGGGAGACACGTTCAGGAGGGCTGGGGAGGAGGGGACAGCAGGTGCCCAAAGGGGCATCAGCTCTGGCACGCCAGGACGGACGCGTGACCCCGGGAGGACGCCGGGGTTGGGACCGAGGGTGGGAGAGAAGAGTTTCCACCTCAGTGAGCTGCACGTGGGGGCAGAGAACTGCTCGTGGCCCAGTGGGAAGGGCAGGCACGGCTCCTGCGAGCTCCCAGTGCCACAGGGTGAGGCCCAGCACCCTCAGCCCACTGCAGCCCGTGCTGCAACAGGCACACCTCGCCCACGGCACCCGGGCACGGCCAGGGAGAACCAGTTTCCACAGATCTGTGCCCCAGCGTGGATGCTGCGTGACCAAATCCCTTCCAAAACCCCCTCCCTGGCCCACAGGAGGAGCTGGAGGAGGGCAGGCTTGGCAAGTGGTTTGCACCCAGCTAATTTTATCCTGGAGGGAGGAAAAAGGCCATTTTCTGTGGGTAGCCACAGTGCTGGCACGCTGTGCCCTGCTGCCCTCCCGGGCAGTGCCCCCCAGCCCCTGGCTGTCCTCCCTCAGGCTCCTTCCCATCAGACGTGGCCATTCCTGGCCCAGGGAGGGCTCTGGCACTGACCCTGAGCAGGCAGAGATGGGCAGCAAGGAGCCCTGGGGCTGCCCCTGCCCCCCCTGGCATTGCCCCCCCCAAGGGGGCAACAGCCCCGCAGGGAGGAAAAAGGTGCCTGGCTCCCATCTGCAGGACTTGAGAGGCTGAGAGGCCTGTGTGCAATCATTTCCTGGCAGCTCCTGCCATCAAAGCCTGTTCTCTGCACCCGCCCCAGCAATCCCAGATGCTGCTTTAGCCCCCCACTGAGTGAGTGGGAGCTCAGGACCCCACAGGATGCTGCCCCCTCCCACAGAGCTCACGGCTTGGGGGTGCCAAGACAGAGGAGCAGGGAGATGTCCCATGCAGGGGTCACCCTGGCACCCCAGTGACCCCCAGGGGCAGCTTGAGCTGGGTCCCTTTTGCTCTCCCCCCTGGCAACGGTGTGAGCTGGAGGAGGGATGGGAGGAGCTGCAGGGAGGGGGAGAAGCTGGCTCGTGTCAGGCACTGCAGAGCCAGCCAGGGGACACAGAGAGCCCTTGTTCCTGGGCTCAGGGCTGGGGGGAATGGGACACTCGTGTGGCCAGACCTGGCCCAGCTCCTGTGCTGTGCACCCAGCCGTCAGGGCAGGATGGGAAAAAGCCCAAAAAGCTGGAGAAGGGCAGCAGCTCCCCCCTCCCCCCCAGCTGTACCAGCTGGAGAGCCAGGGACACAGCATGAGCAGCAGCTTTGGTAGCTGCCCCTCCACCCCACCTGGCAGGAAAAGGTGCCCCAGAGGGGCTTGGGGAGGGGAACCTGCCCCCCTTTCTGTTCTCCAGCCCACCCACCTTCCATGGCTATGTGCAGGGTGCTGTGCAACCCTCCCAGGGCAGGGGGTCCCAGCTGCGGGGCCCTGGGTGACTGGGAAATGGGGTGATGCTGGTGGGGACAGAGCCAGGAGGACAATGGTGGCTCATGGTGGCCCTCATGTGTCAAGGACCCAGCATGCAGCAGCTCTCATGGGACACTCTGAGTCCCCCCAGCCATCCAGAGAGGCTGAGATTGAAAAAAAGCTCTGGCAAAAGAGCAGGAGGGGCTGAGCAGCAGGACGGGCAGTGGGCATCAGGCTGGAGACCTGCTGGAGCTGAGACCAGCACCTCCCTCCCTGCTTGGGCAGGACAAGGTATGGAAGGATTTCTTTACTGTGTGTTATTAATAAAGTGTTGGAGACCTTTGGATAAACAGCTGGGTACTATTTTGAGAGGAGAAAGTAAAAACCAAATAAATAAACTCGTTTCTTCTACGGAAGTTTTTTACGCTCTGATGACAAACAGGCCAAAGGCCAGATCCAGGGGAGGAAAACATTCCCCAGCACTGCAACCCTGCTCCTGGCTGAAACACTCCCCTCCACAGCAGTGAGGAAAAAAACCCCAGCATCCTGTTAACCTCCTCTTTCCACCTAAAATCCCTCGGAAAAACAAATACCCAAAGGCTCAGTGAGAAGAGCCAACATCTGCTGGCGTGCTGGAAGGTACAAACAGGCACCTGGCTGGGAGCTGGAGGCTGGGGTGTGGGGTACACAAACACCAAGGATGACTTTTTCAGCTGCCAAAAACCTGCCCCCTCTGGAAAGGAGCAAGGATAGTTTGCAAAAGAAGTGTTTTTCTAATAAAAAACCCCAAACAACACAACTCCCTGTTCCCTTTTCCAGCTCCTTTTGCAAAAGCAGAGAGCCCAGCGACACCAAAGGTATTGCTGAAGGACCTTGTAAGGGCAAAGATCTCCTCCAAGAGGTGTGTATGCCCCAGAACTGCTGCCTCTGTGCAGAAAACACGTGGGTGCCTGTAAATTGAGGACACCCAAAATCTTTCCACCTCCCCCCCTCTGTTTCCATTTCCTCCTTTCACTGCCTGGGCTGGAGCAGCAGCTCTGAGTGAGGCAGTTGGCATTGAATCCCATTGCCTCGATTGACAGGGAAGGAATATGTTGCATTTCTCCAGCTTAATTCTGAAAATTAATAGAGAGATGATGATAAAAACAAGAGGAGCAATGCAACAGGCTGGCTCTGAGCTCTGCTGAACACGCCTGGGGCAGATGAATCCATACATTCCATCTCTTTTGCCCTGTCAAGATGCTACGTCGTGGGTTTTACTGGAGAACCAGGTGACACAAAGGACCAAATTTCTCCATCCCTCCTGCAGCCCTGCTCCAACCCCTCACACAGCCCCCCCTGCACTCCCCTCAGTGCTCTCCACTGCTGAACTGGGAAATACCACCCCCAGTCACCACTCAAAACACAGGGTATAACACCCCAGCCAGGTTTGTGGGGGGAATTTCTTGGCAGGAGAAGAAAGTTTCTTGCTGCAGGGACTAAGAGGACTCTGGGGCTGAGTGTGAAGCACGGAGATGAGGAGCAGTGGGAGGTGAATGGCTGTGGCAGGGACCACCCAGAAGATGCTCTGGAGCCCAGAGAGCTGCTCAGTGCTCTGCTGTGAGCCCTGCCTGGCCATCTGGGCACAGAGGGGTTTGTGTGCTCCACCACAGCCTGGTGCAGGAGCTGAGGTGTGAGTGAGGTCTCCAGCCCCAGAGCAGGGCAGGGGGAACCTCCCTACCCCACGGGAGCACAGGAACGTGGAGATCAAAGCTGAAAGGTGAACAGGCCCAGTTAAAAGCTTGTCCCAGGGATGGCAGGAGGCAAATAGCAGCATCTTGGGAAGAGGAGGCTGGCAGCTGGTGTGTGGCCAGGGAAAGAAGGTGACAGCAGCAGTGGCAGAAAGCAGAGTGTGGTGGAACTGGCCTCCTCAACAGGGAAATATCCCTCCCCTTACCTCCTTGTGCCAGCTCATGACCCAGTTCCCTTCCCTGATCTTCTCCTGATGGGTTCTAAGGGTGACATCTCACCTGCTAGGACATTACTAAGCACTCAGCCACAAACCCCACAAGCAGTGGCCCTGCTGCAGCCCATCAGCCTAGAACCCAAGCAGTGGGGTGATCCATGGTCTCACAGACCACAGAGGAGGAGAATAAACCAGACAAGGTGGAGAGCAACAAGTGCAACTCTGTTCAGGTCTGATGGTGTGGCCACAGCCACTTGTTGGCTCTGTGGTGTCTGCTGCCTTGGGTGATGCCAACTGGGGGTGAAGGTGTTGCACAGCTATGGTGTTACTAGGTCTAAACAGTTGGGAAACAGATCAGGGAAGCCAGAAAAATCTTCAATGCTTTTTTAATTCAGTGAAAATCACTCAGAAAAGCATTGGCATTTGGATTAAGGTTCCTTGGAAACCACAGTTAAAAAACTAAAGAATAAAAACTCCAAAGCAAAGGCTTCCAGTCCCAGGTGAGCCCTCCACCCCAGCTCACACCCTCCCGTGGAGTGTGAGGGGTTTCTCCAAGGGTTTTGTTTTGAACCCAGGGGCTTTCTCCTCTTACCTGTCCTCCCGGTTGCGGTCCAGCGAGTAGAACTGCTTGCGGAGCCACCTGCATGGGGGCACAGACAGGGACAGCTCAGCCCCAGCTCCTCCAGCACCAGCCTGGGGGATGCCCAGTGCCACGCTGCCCATCCCCACAGCCCTGCTCCTTCCCACCCAGCTCTGCTCCCCTTCCGACCCTATTTTCACAGGGGTAACCCTTTAAAACTGCCTCTGCCTGAAAGTGGCCTTCCAGTATCTTAGGGGGGTACAGGAAAGCTGGGGAGGGACTTTTTAGGATATCAGGTAGTGACAGGACTAGGGGGAATGGGGCAAAGCTGGCAGTGGGCAGATTCAGGCTGGATGTGAGGAAGAAGTTCTTCCCCAGGAGAGTGGTGAGACCCTGGCATGGGTTGCCCAGGGAGGGGGTTGAGGCCCCATCCCTGGGGGCCTTTAAGGCCAGGCTGGAGGAGGCTCTGGGCCGCCTGATCTAGTGGGAGGTGTCCCTGCTCATGGCAGAGGGGTTGGAACTGGGGGATCCTTGTGGTCCCTTCCAACCCTGACAGATTCTGATCTGTTTTGGCAGAGGACTTTAGAGCCCTAGTGGCTCAATGGTTGGACTTGATGATCTTGGAGGTCCCTTCCAACCTAAAGGATTCTATGATTCTATGATACAGGAATGAAAAAACTCAGAGGTTTTCTTTTTATCAAAGGGTTTTTTTTTCTCTCCTCCATGCCTCTGTGCTGAATTGCTGCAGACTGTACTTGATGAAGGCTCTGGAGTGCAGAGGCAGGAGTGCCAGGTCAGTGTGGCTCCCAGGGGGAGGTACACGTGGGCACTGGGCTCACCTTCTTCTGCCAAAAAATAGGACAGAAAAGGGGAAAAGGAAAAAAAAAAGAAAGAAGTGCAGGACAAGGACAAGTTCCTCACCTTTCAATCTGCAGGGGGGTGGCAGCCCTTAGAGTGTCTGCCACCAGCCAGTTCAGCCCCTTGATCCACATATTGACCTCGTCCTCAGAAGTGGCTGTGGAAAGAGCACAGGAGAAATAGGAGGAAGGGCCAGAGGAGCTGATCACCAGCCCCCACCTCTTGGGATTGTCCCCACCATCCTGGGTCCCCTCATCCTTCAGCCTCTTTCTGGTAACAGCTCCCTCCCAAGCAGATGCTGTGGTCAGCCCCTCTCCCTGCTGAGCTCCTGCTCCCCTCCCGTGGGGTGTCCATGGCTGGCTGGACACCTTGTCCTGCAAGCCAAGCTCTCTCCTCCCTCCCATTCCCAGGAGATGGGACATTCTCTTTGTCCCCAGGCAGCAAGGCTTTGGCTGGCCTGGGTGACAAGCCAGCACCTGCCTGGGAACATGGGCCAGCTCCCTGTCGTGCTCCATCCTTCCTGAGGTGCTGCTTCTGCCCCACGTCCCCCAGCCCCAGGCAGAAGGCAGATGTGCTGAGGTCCCTGAGGAGGCAGCCGTGCTCATCCCTGTGGGTCTACACAGGACACAAGACTATGAACTGCCAGGAAAAAGTCCTGTCCCTCAGCTGAAGCACAGCCTGTCCTCTCCCTCAACACGAGGAGCCTCACCAGCAGGAACCTCCCCTCTGCCTAAAGCTAAACATGGAGCTGGGTGCTCCGAGTGCAGCTGGAGGCAGCAGGTGAGGAGCTGAGGACAGGTAAGACCACACCTGGGAGGTCTTGGGTGGGTCTGACTGAGGCTCCAGGGGTCACTGTGGGGCACTGCCCATGTTTCCTTGCTCAGAATTGCAAAGCAGAGCTGGGTTCTGCCCCTTCAGGGGCTGGTGACCAACACCAGCGGGCCAAGGTGACCCCAAACACTTCATTTCAAGCACACAGGGCCTTCAGCTCACTCAGCTTTTGGATGTACTGGGTGAACTGACTGACTTAACCAAGGGTTGAACCTCCTCCCTTCAGGGAACCAGCGTCACCCTCCTTCCAAAGACACCTCCTGGGTGTGGTGATGAGAACATCTGCCCGGGGTTCTGTTCCCTGAGCTCCCTCAGGGCAGGGTGAGCTGGAGCTGTGGGTGCTGGGGTGAGGAGATGGCTGCCCTGGCCCAGCCCTGGGAGCAGCAGTGCTTTACCTTGCAGGCTGAGGGTCTTCAGGCGGAACTCTGTGCCGTAGAGGAGGACGAAGCAGTGGGAGGGGTCTGGTCTGAAGCAAGGGTCCTCCTGGTACCTCTCAAAGTCCCGGGAGTTCCGGCCAGGACGGATCTCCTTGATCTCACGGATGTCCACTGAGAGGGAGGGGAAGCAAACGGGGAGTTCAGCCAGCAGCCTGACACTCCCATGAAGGTGGTGGTGTGGTCTGAGGCTTGGAATGGGGTCGTGACCTTCCAGCAGCTGGGAGGAGCCTGGGTGGGGGTGAAACCATTGTATTCCCTCCCCTTCCCACACACACTCTGATAAGAGGCAGGGAGTGGGTTCTCATTTCACTCCTGCCCTGCAGCTCGGATCTAATTTCACTCCTGCCCTGCAGCTTGGAGAGGGAGGTTGTCCTTTCACTCCGTGGGACCTTGGAACCATTTCTGAGGGTTTTGTATATTTTATTTTTTGTATTTTTTCACCTAATCTTTGTATATATTATTTTCCTTACCTCCCTTTTTCATTTTCTGTTCCTTGTTCAACAATATACTTCATTTTTTTTCAAAGTCTCTCTCTCTCTCTCTCTCTCTCTCGGGGGGGGGAGAGGTGAGGACATAGTTCTGTTCCCTGTGGGTCCTGCCCTGAACCCCTTTTTACACAGAACCAGGACAGGTGGAGAAGGAAGGGCATGGATAAAGTGGTTTCAGTCATCTGGAGAGCTAAGTCACCACCCATGGCATGGTGGTGGACCCAGGCACGGAGCTCCTGGATGGACAGCAGGCAGCTCCTGGGGATGGTGCCTTGTAAAGGGACTCACTGCACTGAGGCAACAAGTGACCACCACAGCAGCCTGCCAGTCCTCCCCTGCCACCACCATGGGCTTCAGCATGGGCTGAAGCAGCACCCAGAGCTCTAGCCCAGCACCCCCAGGTGCCCAGGTCCTCCCACAGAACCTGCCCACACTTCTGACAAGCCCTTGCAAGAGCCCCAGCTCGCTCCTCAACCTCTCACAGCAGCACAGAGATCTTATCACTCATCTTGCACACCTCTCTCGACAGGTCCACGTGGTTGCACACCCTCACAAGCCTGCAAGCACACTCCTTGCCTCCTGGCTCCCTAGGAAGCCTCTCCAGCCACCTCTATCCCCTCCAGGAGTGGCTGGATGTCTCCCAGCAGCAGCCCCCTGGCCCCACGAGCAGAGGGGGGGTTGCTACCATCAGCTCCTTCACCCTTCAGCTTCACACTTCACACCTTCCTCTTCCTCTGCCCAACATACAGCTGCAAATGGCACTTTGGGGTTTTTTTTTTCTCCTCTCTTTCAAGACAGCAGCTTGTTCTTTTTTTAAAGACAGCTTTTCTGCAGCAGTGAGACCTCTGAGGGCACAACCTCTGGAGGAAATCCTGTGTGCAGCTACCACGACCTGCAAACACCAGGGATTTAAGATCCACTCCTTTCTAAGTTTCTCTGTCTACCTTGAATTTGAGCTGAGTCTTGGTTTCAACAACTCAATGGTGTCCCTGCCTCCTCCCTCCCCACTTTCACCCCAAATTTTGTCTGTGTTTTCCTGACACCTCCCTGCCCCATCAGCATCCTCCCAGCTCCTCTGGGCACTACCAGGATGCCCAGGGCAGTCTCTGCCTCCATACATGTGCTCTCTTCACCACAAAAACTCTGCCCTTCCCCACCCAGAGTGGGATGAAACGTTTGTCCCCTCTGAGTGGTGTTCAGAAGGCCACAGAAGAAAGCCCAGTGCAAGGATGAACCAAGTCCAGCCCCTGGAGATCCAGTTGTGGTGGATCTGCCACAGCCCTGGAGCAGATTCGACTACAGCAACCCTCCTGTGCTCCTTCAGGCAGAACCATCCTCCCCCCCTCACTGCCAAACACCTCCCAGAGGGAAAACATTTGAAGAAGCCTGAGAGCAGCCAGATCTCCAGGGATCAGCTGACTGACAGACACCACCAGGGAGGGCTGGTATCAACAGCCTGAACACAGGCACAGTGCTGGTCAGAACCAGGGCCAAGGGAGGTGGGACCACAGCTCAGGGCTCTCACCTCTCACAGCTTTGGGTGGTAAACATAAGACAAGTCCCCTGGACTTCAGGTTTTAAAAACTGGTGTCTTTTTGAACCTGTGGCAGCAGCAGAGGGATTATTGCCAGGGGGCAAGCCCAGAACTGCAGAGAAAAGCTCAGAAAGTTGCATGTGTTGCCAGATGGGAGACAGCAGGGTCTTGAGTCATGAAGCTGGGAATTCAGTTGGCCAGGGTGTGACCATGGCCAGGGGCTGTGTGGTCCATGGCCAGTGTGACTCCAGGGAGCTGTGCTTGTTATCACCCCCCTGTGCACCCATAACATCAACGTGCTTCCTCTGGGAGCAGCTGAAGAGGGCAAGATGAACGGTGAGCAGCCAAACCCTGGGCAGATGAAAACCTTGGATGGTGCCCATGAGATGAGGGCAGGGCAGGCAGCACCATCATCCCAGCAGGCTGCTGGGCCACGGGGACAGCATTGTCCAATTCTGAGGACATTCCTCAGGCTGCAGGGCTGGTGTCCTGCCTCAGCAGCTGTCCCTGGGGGGCCAGTCCAGGTGGTGAATCTGCTGGTGCAGCTTCAGCTAGGGCTCGTGGAGAAGAGGAGCAGATACTTCCAACCAGCCACCTTGGAGCTGTGCTCCTGCCCAAAGGGCAGCTGTGAGCACAGAGAGCTGGTCACCAAGTGAAGAGAAAGAGCTGAGGAGACACTGGTAAGGGAGCTTCTCACAGCCTCCCTCCCTGGAGGAGATTCTGGGAAAGGATTCTCAGCACCATCAAACAGAGAAAACAACAACAAGAAGGAAAAAAAAAACCCAAACCCAAGAATTGTTGTTTCCTGGAAAAATAGTTTCTTAAAAGCTTGGAGGGAATCAAATAACAACAATTCTGAGTCACGTTTCCAAAGCAGATGCTGCTGCTGAGCAATGCAGGACGGGGATCACTGCAGAGCTGGCGTGTGGTTCAGCCCAAGCAAACCCCTCCTGCTGCACCTCTCCATTTCCTGCAGCTCAAACCCAGGCAGAAACGTGACCTGCCCATCACCCCCAGCAGCCCTCAACGGCAGCCTGAGAGAGGATGCTGGCTGCAAACAGACACCACGGTGAGGGGCTGGCCTCTGGGGAGACTCGTGAAGCCTCCAGCAGGAAGGTGGGACCCTCTCTTGGAAGGAGAGGGTTGAGCCTGGAGGTGCCAGCAGCCTGACACAGGACACAGCCACACCCACCACTACCAAAGCACAGCCAGACCTGGCTCCTTGGGGCTGCACAAAGGGGACAGGCCAGCTCCCTAAAATAAGGGTGTGACTTCTGAAGGCATCACCCACCCTTTGGAAAGGAGCTGGCTGGAAGCTGAAACTTCCAGCTGGTGCCCTGCCCGGGTGCTCCCAGCCTTAGTGACACAGCAGGGTCCTGCAGCCCTCCCCAAAACCCCTGTCAGAGTCCAGGCCTGTGCCTCCAGGCCACCCACAGCAGGGCTGAAGGTTAATCCTGCCTCTGAAGGACTCTTGACCAGCTCAGGTGGGTGAGAACCAGCAGCTGGGTTTCCACAGCAGCTCACCAGGCAACGAGCACTGTAGGAAGGCACCCAAAGGGGCTCCCACATCCCCCCCCGAGGTGCCTGCGTGTGCCAGGAGCAGCCTGGGGTTGGGGTTTGGTTTCTGCAGAGCTCCCTGCTGCAGAGCAGCCTCCCCAGCCCCACTGCTGCCCACGCCACCACCCTGCCCTGCAGCCTGGAAGGAAACCACGCCGGGCAGGAAGCAGAGCGAGCCCCACACCACCAAAACCTGGCTGCATCCCTGCCCCTGCTGCTGCCCCCAGCCCAGCCCAGCTCCTCCTGCCCCTGCACGGGGCAAGGAGGGGTGCAGATGTGGCTACAGCCCAGCTCTGGTTCTCACCAGGGTTCCTCTGGCTGCTCTTGCACGGGTCAGCTCCAGGAGGGCTCCTGGGGGGGGACCCAGCTCTGCAGGTCTGGTCCCAGGTCTGACCCAGGACGTGCCCGGGTGGAATCAGATGGCCTTGAAAGGTCCCTTCCAACAGGTCAGCTCCAGGAGGGCGCCTGGGGGGGACCCAGCTCTGCAGGTGTGGTCCCAGGTCTGACCCAGGACCTACCTGGGTGGAATTAGATGGCCTTGAAAGGTCCCTTCCAACCAAAACCAGGACCCAAACCAGTCCATGAGTCTAAACAGCAGGAAGACTTCATTTTGTTAACTCTTTCTTTGCCAGAGTGAGGAGCTTGGAGGCTTTTCTGCTGCCTGGGGGCAGGATCAGTCCACGTCAGCCAGCTGAGGTCGAGCTAGGCTGGGGGTGACCTGTGTGGCTGTAGCTTTGTCCCCAGGGAGACACCCCAATGCTTGTTGAGGGGATGGGTGTCTGGTAAATCCATCCTGGAAGGTAACCTGGATGGAACTCTCTTTTTATCAGCTTTTTTTTTCCCCTTAATCAGTTTTACATCTTTCTAAATCTCCTCTGGAGGTGGAGATTTTGCAACCCTCAGAGCCCCTTCCAGGGTGTCCTCTCCAGGTTGCATCCCTGTGTCCATCAGCAGGTAAATGAGGCTTGGATGAAGTTTCAGCTGTAAAGGACTTTCAGGGTGGGTCTGGTTTTCATGTAAGCAGAGGGTAATTGGGTTGTTTTCTTTTCAAATGCTGCGGGGGTTGGCTCTGGGGTCAGCACTTCTCTTTCTGATGCAACTCCCCCCTGCTGGAGAGGAGGCTCTTGGCCCAGAAATGTGACCACTTTGGGGGTTTTTAAGTGCTGGAGGCAAGTTGAGGGCCAGGCCCAGACCCAAGGCCCAAAGCTGTGACAGAGTCCACCCCCCCCCTCACCCGAGGAGCTTCTTGGTGCTGAGGGTGGTGGGGTTGTGGTTAGATGTCATTTCACAGTCATGGAATGTTTTGCATTGGGAAGGACCTTTAAAGGTCATCTCCTCCAACCCCCTGCAGGGAGCAGGGACATCCCCAGCTAGAGCAGGGTGCTCAGAGCCCCATCCAACCTCCCCTGGGATGGTTCCAGGGATGGGGCAGCGACCACCTCTCTGGGCAACCTGAGCCAGGGGCTCACCACCCTCAGTGTCAGAGAAGATGTCTTCCTCTCATCTAGTCTAAATCTCCTTCTTTTAGTTTA